CTTCTGTGTAGTACAGTACGATGTAGATGAATGATATGAGTCTCGGCAAGGACTGCTTTATTTCATGTACCAATTATATATAATGGACTTGGGAAATGAAACAATGAACTCTCCTCAAATTGACTCATATTGTGATCTATGTGCAAGGATTTAAATATTTGAATGGCCTTGCTTTTACAGAATTTTAAACTGAGAGATTTGAGGGTAGCAAAGAAAAAGGTCTTTTCGTTTCTCTGTATAACAGCTGAGTAAAATGCTTGAAAGAAATGTGTTTGTACTGCCATAAGTCAAACATATTTGTAAAAGATGAGTGTGATGGACTTTTTTATTATTAGAAAACACTTCTTTGTGTTATCCTAGTTAGTAGTCATGTAATCCAGAAACTGTCTTTTCTCTGCTTGTGACATGTTATATTCACAGCTTTACACAAAAAGCTATTTGTTCTTAATTCTGCCTTGCAAAAAACTGAGTTATAAAAACTATATTTGTTATATTTGTGTATATATGGGTATATTTGTTAATGAGCCTTAGCTATGAAACTTTTATTTATGCATTTGTGATTTATTAGCCTATTTTTTATTAAAGCTTGGGAGTTTTATTCTTTTTCTTCTACTTTTTTAATTATCAAACTGTAGCTTAGAGCTTTCTCCTTCTTAGAAAATATTGGGAGGCAAGATTGTATGTACATTAAAAACAAAAATTTTTACATAGGAAATACTTGAAGAAATATCAGTAAAACCCACTAATTGACTGTAATGCACATTTTGTGCTTGTGTAATTAAACATGTGCATTGGATAATGTATATATATCAAGCAACATGGACCCTCACCATTCATGCTGATGAAATGATTTATGTATTTAAAAAACTGACATCATTTGCAATTTGAGCGAGTATGTAGTCACTTTATGCGAGTAGGTGATGCTTTTCAGTTTATGATCATTGATCATTCAAGCTTTGGACAGTTATACTACACATTGTGTAAAGTGTTTACGAAACCTAGTTTCACCTAATTTTATTTGATTACAGAAGGCAACCTTGTTTAAAACATTGAACTTAATTCCATGACATCCTGTTTGATAGTTTCATCAATATTGATATACATCATACAACTGATACAAGAAACAAACTTTTATTCAACAAAATATATGTAAGATGAAGGACAAAAAATGGAGTTTCAAAAGGAAATTTTTTTTAATATGTGCAATGTTTTCAAAAACGCCTTGTGTAAGTTATGCAATAAAATAAAGTGTTAAGGTATTGACCTGCATGATAAACTGCTTTCCTATTTGAAGTAGAAGTTTGAATTCAAGTAAACACCAAAGAACAACCTTTCGAAATAAGGCTTTACTCAACACTAAATTAATATCTACAAAATGTCTCTTTATAGGTAATTATCTTAAACTAGACGCGGTTACTAAGGTGGGTGTACTTCATATAATAATCACTACAATCATCCTCTTCTATTTGAAATAACTATATAATCTAAATTAAATAATCTAAATAAGACTGGCCCTGCCCGATTGTCTTTTTTTCTTTTAGTTCAATGTCATGTATATGTCAGGCGGTCGGGTTGTTTCTTTTCTCTCTGCGAGTGGCGTAACGGTAGTGTCTGTTGTGAAGACGACTGGTCAGGTAGAGCGGGATCCTCTAGTAGTGAGTTCCCTTCTCTTTCCTTCTTTGGCGAACTATTATTTAGTTTCCTAGCGTCTTTTGTGGCCAAAGGAGATAGACGTGGGTCGTCTACAGTATTATCTTTATAAGGCGATAGTGGTAGCGGTTTCTCGCATAACTTCTCTTTTTCCTCAGCTTGTGGAGAGAGGAACTTAGTGGCTACGGTATCTTCTCTTCCATCGGGAAATTTTACATGCGCATACTGAGGATTTGCTTCGATTAGCTCTACTTCATCGACAGATGGGTCATACTTAGATTGTTTTACTTGACGCTTCAACAATACCAGTCCAGGTCGGATAGCCACGTTGGTATGGAAGTTCCACTCGTCGATCTTCGTTGGTGGATAAAGAGGCGTTCATGCGGTGTTACATTAGTAGCGGTGTACAACAGAGATCTCATGGAATGAAGAGCATCATGCAAAACTTCTTGCCAGCAGCTGGCCGGTAGTCCTAGCGTCTTCATCCCGAGGGAAATAGTCTTCCATAGAGTGCCGTTCAAACGTTCTACTTGGCCGTTCCCTTCTGGGTTATATGGTGTGTTTCGGCTTGACGAGATTCCTTTCTGGAGGAGAAAGTCTTTAACTTTTGCACTCATAAAGCCAGAACCTCTATCCGAATGTATGTAAGCAGGGATACCGAAAATCGAAAACAATTCGCAGAGACAATTTATAATTGACTCCGCGCTAACGTCTTTACAAGCGAAAGCAAAAGGAAATCTTGAATATTCATCTATTATAGTAAGAAGAAACTTATTATGATTAGTCGTCGGCAATGGTCCTTTGAAGTCCAAACTAAGTCTCTCGAAGGGTTGAGTCGCTTTTACTAAATGGAAATTTTCTGTTTTGTAATATTGAGGCTTACTTTCCCTGCATATCTTGCAGGACTGTGTCATGAGCTTAATTTCATCCATAGAGAAAGGGAGATTACGGTTTTTTTACAAAATGTGCCATCCGCGTTATTCCTGGGTGACACAAGGATTCATGAAGCTCTATCAGCTTATCGGAGGTCATGCTCATTGCTCTTATCCTAGAAAATGTATCCGCTGGTACATTCTCTTCTCTTGCTCTGTAGATTATATCAAAATCATAGGTGGATAGTTCCATCCTCCATCTCATTATCTTATCGTTCTTAATTTTGCTTTTTTTGCTTGGTATCAAACATGTAAGCTACTGACTTCTGATCAGTAATTAACATAAAATGCTTACCCGTAAGGTAGTGTCTCCACTTCCTCACGGCTTCTACGATAGCCGCTGCTTCTTTCTCCTCTGAAGCGTGCTTAAGCTCTGATCCGCTTAACGTCCTCGAAAAGAACGCAACTGGGCGACCGTTTTGGTTGAGAGTGGCTGAAAGAGCAAACTCGGAAGCGTCTGTTTCCACCTGAAAGGGCTGTGCTTCGTCAACAGCTTGGACCACAGATTTTTCGACATCGGACTTAAGTAGATTAAACGAAGTAAGAGCATCGCCTACCATTGGAAATACAGTATTCTGTGTCAGCGGTCATACTTCTGCTGCAAAGTCTTTGATCCATTGAGAATAGTAGGAAAAGAGACCCACAATCCGCTTCTGTTCTTTTAAATCACGGGGGACAGGTCACTCTCGCAGAGGTCTCAATCGTGCCGGGTCCGGCTTTATTTCTCCATTAGCGATTATACTACCGAGGATACAAATACTGGTTGTTGAGAAGGAGCATTTGTCTTGATTAAACGTCAAATTTCGCTTTATAGCTGCTTGAAGGAGCTTTTCGAGATTTATGTCATGCTGGGCTTGGTCCCGGCCACAAATCGTGATGTTGTCAAGATACACAAACATGTCTTCTAGACATTCTTTAGCGATAAAGTTGTCCATCATTCTTTGGAAAGCTGCTGCTCCATTCGTTACTCCAAATGGTACTCGACGGAATTGGTACAAACGCTGGTTAGCTTCGAAAGCAGTATATTTCTTTTCTTCTTTTTGAATTGGGACTTGGTGATACGCACTTTTCAAATTAACGGTGCTGAAAACTTTGTACTGAGCGATTTTAGAGACGATATCATCTATTCTAGGCAAAGGATAAGCATTCAGGTGTGTGAATCTATTTATAGTTTGCGAGTAGTCAATCACTAATCTTTTTTTTTGTCGATCGTTTCTAGTTACGACCACTTGTGCTCTCCACGGTGATTCACTCGGTTCAATTATACCTTCATCTAGAAGCCTTTGTACTTCAGTTGTAATAAATTCTTTGTCTTCTCGGCTATATTTCCTTGATTTAATAGCTATCGGTTTACAACCCTCTGTTAAATGTTGGAACAAAAGTGGGGGGTCTAGGTTCAAAGCTGTTAAACTGCAAAGTTTCAAAGGAGGGGCAGAACCACCGTACTGGATAGTGACACTTTCGTGCAGGGCTTGCCAAGTTTGCCCTAGAATAACATGAGTACACAGATTGGGCAGAATATATAGCTTAACCTGAGAATACAACCGGCCTTTTAACGTTATATCACTAAGACAATATCCTTGTATTTTTGTGTAATAATTACATGTAGCCATCGTAACTTTTTCTTTGGTCTGATGAACTGTCAATGAAAGTTGCTCAACCAAATCAGGATGTATGAAGCAATGAGTACTTCCTGAATCTACCAGAGCAGTAACAGTTCTTTCTTTTAAACGAATGTCAATACATGAACTTAGCAATGACTCCCCCATTGCAGCTAGAGTTATGTAAGCTGATTGCGTTACATTGGAGGCTACTGCTGAAGAACGGCAAACTCTTTGGTAGTGCCCTCTTTTTTTACATTTATTACAAATAGCTTCTTTCGCAGGGCATAATGACCGGGGGTGTTGCTTATTACCACAAGAAGCACTTAGCCGAATGTGAAGTGGAGGCTAAATACCTCTCGCTTAGTCCTTCTTCATTATTTTCGTCATGTCCGTTAGATGCCGTAACAGCAGCGCTTGTGAAGGGATTCGAATTGTATGTCTCCGATGGTTTTTGTGCCAAATCTCAAGCTCGAGCTTGATCAAATGCCGTTTGTAAATCCAACTGTTTATTCTCCAGTAAACGTTGTCGAATGCTTCCCGAAAATAGACCACTAATGAAAGCATCCCAAATTGCTTCATCCCGATATTGAGCAGCAGAGGCTTGACGAAAATTGCAGTCTTTACTTAGGTGTTTCAGTTCTTGTAGGTATTCGTCAAGGGTTTTGCCTGCTTGTTGTTTCCGTGTTGCTAATTTATGCCGAGCAAAAATCTCGTTCGGAGGCTTGACATATAAGGTTTTCAGCGTGGTGATGGCTTCATCGTAGGTTTCAGTATCACAGAACAGTTGATAAACATCCGAGGTGACATAATTCAC